GATGCCGTTTCCGTTGCGGATGGGGAACTCTTCGAAGCAGAACCTCCTCCGATTCCACCGCCAGAAGCACCGCCAGTCCCACCACACCGGGACGATGAGGTGCCGCTTGCAGAGCTAGCCGATGGCGAGCCAAGCGATGAGAGGGTACTCCGGGCAGCAGCCAACTCTCCCGAGCACCTTCGATCACACTTCCCAAAGAATCCATTCTGTCGGATATGTGCGATTGCTAAGAACACCGCAGCGCGTGTTGCTCGCAAACCCGATGGTCGTGCCGATGACGGGATCGACAATCCTACTGCCCCGTTTCAACAGCTCGCCACTGACAGTGTCATCCTTGCGAAAGGAGATGAACATGCGGGCATTGGAGTCGGAGGGATTAAATCTCACCACGTCATCAGGGATGTTTTCTCTGGAGCAAGGATTGCATATCCTGTATCCAAAAGGGACACAGCAGCCCATTCCAAAAATCTAAGGCACTTGCTAGGATTGAAAGCCAACGAGCTCTCTCCGACATGTCTGGTCAAAATGGATGAAGCTGGAGAGCTTGAAGCGGCAGCTCATCAGGTCGGATTAACACCCGAAACCTCGCTGCCGAACCGATGGCCCCACAATGCCGAGCTGGAAAGGGACATTAGGGAAGAAAAGGAATGTTGCAGATCCATCCACCTCCAGAGTGGGTTGCCATACGATCTACACACTCACTCCTACCCCTTTGCATGCCTCTCCATGTCATTCGACAGACCTGCAACATTCGACAAGGCTAAGACCCAATGGGAAGCCTTGACAAAGTCGAAGTTCGATGGCATTAGGCATTGCTTTGGTCAGCTTGTCTATTACCGTAAAAAGGGCATTAATAAGCGCACTCTAGAACCCAACTTGGCACCTGCTTTGTTTTTGGGCTGGAGGGTTGACGCAGGCCTTCGGTATCGCCATGTGGTCAAGGTCCTAGATTATCAAGGATTTAGGACTCGTCGAGCGATTGTAGTGCATGATGTCCCGGAAGCAGAACTCTTCGTTGAAGAAGATGAGCCTTGCTTCCCCGTTGCGGCAGCAGCCCACAAGGCGCTGCGGACGGGGGAAGCCGAGGGTGAGCTCCCAGAAGTCGCTCTTAAAGAGGTTCCGTTTAGCGAAGTAGCTGCACCGCCGACTCCCGCTCCAGGCACGCCGCGAGGCGTGTACATCACTGTGGATCGGATAATCCGGTTCCGTGAAACACCAGGTTGTCGAGGTTGTACCGGGCGCACCCGGTACCATACCCCCGAATGTCGACGCCGCTTCGCAAGGCTTGTCGATACAGAGAAAGCCGAGGAGCGCTCCACGCGCTCGGCTGCCGTCGAGGTAGAGCGGTCACTTCGCCCCTCCGAAGCGATTGACCCAGTTCATGCAGCCAAGGAGGCACGTCTCGAAGAAGACGATGCCGACCTTAAAAAGGCACTTGAGCTTTCCCGCCTTGAAAAGGCAGATCTATCTCATCCCGATGAGCTCGAGAAAGCACTGAGGGCATCCGAAGAGCATGATGATGCTCTTCGCGGCAAGCCAGCTCCGTCTCGGCCAGGGGGGATTCCTCCAACCGCGCCGCCTGCAGCCACAACTGGCGCGGCGGTGACAACAACCACTGCAACCTCCACGTCACTCACGTGCCACGTAGCCGACTCCTTCACCAAGAGGGAGGCTCGGACTCTGCCTGTGTTCGGCATGCCATGTTCCAAAAGGGAGCCATGCAAAAAGTTTTCCGTAGGGAATAAGAGGGCCCGCAAGCGTATCGCGCGGGGAAATTCTATGCCTGTAATGTTCGAGTATGCATGTTCAAGTGACTCCACCATGGGAGCAGTGCATCAAGCATTGGGCATTCCCCACGTGAGACTGGCTAAAGAACACATCGATCTTGAAACCAATGAAGGGGATGAGCAACTGACCGCTCAGTTGCAGTCTTGTAGCAAGCCTAACATGTGGGCAGCCATTCCGTGCACCTCCGGGTCGCCATGGCAAAGGCTAAATGTCCATAAGTATGGCAACAAATACAAGCAGTATCTCCGTGCACAGGTTAAAAGATCGGAGGCGTTGTTCGCAAGGTTCACAAAGCACGCACAGAAGATAGAAGGTTCACAAAGAAAGTAGTGATAGAACAAGAGGGTCACGTCACTTTCGAGTGGCCTCGCGACTGCGAGGGATGGGAGCGCCCCGACGTAAAGGCATTCTTCGAGAAGCATGCGTCTCGCTTCCACTCAGTGACTTTCCACGGGTGTGCAGTAGGCCTAACTGACAAGGAAGGGACTCCCATCAAGAAGCCGTGGCGTCTCATGACCACATCCAAGGAACTTCATGATGGGTTCCAGAATAGGACATGCCCCCACCAACACTCCTTCAAGCATGCACAGGCCGCAGGTAGCAACACTGCACGCACCGCCTTTTATCCACAAGAAATGTGTAAGATAATCGCTAGTGCGTTATATCCGCATGTCGCAACACCATGCGCGCCTGCAATGCCAGTCCAGGCTGTCATCGTGCAAGAGGAGCATCGGGAAAAGGAGCAGTCCTTGAAGCATACCTCCGCACTTTCGGGTGTTGGGGCTCTCGCGTCAGTGGTTGAATCAGATCCGACATCCCGCAGATTCTTTGAAGAACTCTTTGACTTGGATAATCTCGTTAGGGAAATTCAGGGAATTCCAAAGCAGGAGACTTCTCCCGACATAGCCGCCATGGTCACAAAACTTCTTTCACGTTCAGAAATGCTTGCCTCGTCCGAGGCATTGCAGGCCATAAAGGAAGAAGCAGACGGCTTAGGTAATGCGGGAGTCTGGGATCTCAGCACCGTGAGAGAGCAAGGAGAGGTCGCTGCTGAAGCGCGACGGACGCACACTAAAGTCCACTTCGGGCAACTAATGACTATCGCCTCCATCAAATTCTTTGAGCTAGCAAAGCATCTACAGAAAGTGAAGGGGCGTATAGTATACCGAGGGGACTGTGCGCGGGACGAATATGGGGCGGCGGCCGTTTATCAAGAACTCGGCGCCAACCCTACGTCGGGTTTGAACAACTGCCTTGCCTACGGCTCACTGCCAGGTCACAGAACCACGGCGGCAGACGCCGTAAAGGCATATATCCAGGCCCTACTTCGATCTCAACATCAGACGTGGATATCATTGCCGCCGGAACTTCGTCCGAAGTGGTGGAAAGAAAAGTTTATAAAACCGGTAGTCCTTCTAGTAAAAGCACTCTACGGTCACCCCGACGCGGGGGGGCTATGGGAGCAGCACTTCAAGAAGATCTTGAAGGAGCAGACCGGAGAGGAGATCCAAGAATTTCCAGGAAACTTTTACTTCCCCTCAACCGGCTTAATGCTATCCACTTATGTGGATGATCTAACACTTTCAGGGCCGGCAGAGCAGCATGATCCCTTTTGGGAAAAGCTGATGTCATGTGTTGATATTGAACCCCCAGAACCGATATATCGTGTTTTGGGAAGGAATCATGTCATCATTAACGCCCCGAAGTGCGAGCCTAATCCAGCCGAGAGCGCAGCCTTTGGCGCGCTGTCCAACGCAATGGCTTTTGATATGGTTGACTACGCCAAGCAAACTGTTGATCTATATGTCTCCATTTCAGGTCAGCCGATTAGTAAGCTCCGCAAGGCATTGACCCCATTCTGTCCAGAAGGGTCATTGCCAACACAAGATGATGCCGAAGCAGGTGAACTGAGCTCAGCCGCTTGTAAAATCTTGATGAAGGCCTTGTGGTTGGGACGTCTTGCACGTCCAGACATAATCAAGCCCATCGGGGATCTTGCAACGTGCGTTCAAAAATGGTCGCGTAATAATGATAGGCAGTTGGCTAGGCTAATAGCTTACATTAACACGACCACAACGCACAGGTTGGTTGGCACAGTTCAAGACGATCCCAGAGAGCTGCATCTTGCGCTCTACGTCGACGCTGACTTTGCAGGAGAGGAGGGGGCCAAGTCCACGTCAGGGGGGTTTCTCGCCCTGAAAGGTCCGAATTCCCACTTCCCCTTAGCATGGATTAGCAAGCGCCAGACTTCTGTGTCGCGTTCCACTACAGAAGCAGAGATTGTGTCGTTACTTTTCCCGACACTTAGTCTGTGGGATCGACTATTGGGTCGCCCAATGACCCTCAGGATCCATGAAGACAATCAAGCTACTATTCTGGTTGCAAGGAAAGGGCACTCTTCGAAGTTGCGATCAATTTCTAGGACACATAGGGTTAACCTAGCATCCCTTGCAGAACAGTTACAGGAAGGCACTGGAGTAGAGCTTGAATATGTGAAGACCGATTTCCAAGCTGCCGATATCTTTACCAAGGCTTTGCCTCCACATAAGTGGGATCACGCCTTGAGGCTCCTGGGAATGCGCACAGACCTCCCAGAAGAGCTAGAAGATACTCGATTCAACATCAAAAAGTAGAAAGTCATTCCGAAAGCAGTGCTATGAGTACTAAAAGTGCCAAAATATCCTTCATCCTTTTAAAGCCTTGATGACCAGGGAGCAGCGTATCGCGCTCCAAAGCAAAAGCTTACCCTGCCTTAGTGCACACGGCGAGGGGGGAGTCAAGAAATAACGACCCCTTTGCCCCCAAAGGCATGGTAACTTGCCTAGTTGTGTGTTCACTGGCGTGAGGTTTGCATGAGGCCACTTTGGTTTAGGTTGAGGGTTGCATGACATGACAGACTTGTCAAACGGCAAACGCCGTTTGGCTCAAGCGCTCACTGAAAAAGGGCGCTGAGTGCGGAACTAGAGTGTAGAGACAACCCCCTGAACCGCTGAGGGATTAACCTTGGTCAATCCACCTCTTTTTGTTCAGGGCGCAGCCTTCGGCGCGCGTTTGGGGTTTCTTGCTCTTTTGATTAGGAATCATTTCTAAGCAGGTCCGTGGTCTTGTCGTTGCAGCCTTTGTGGTTCTCCTTTGCTTGCCGTCGCCGGTTTGGAATGTTCCATTTTTTTCACGTTGAGAGCCGGGGAGTACGCCGACCGGCGCTTTGTGAGGTGGCCGGGAAGAGAAGGTTCCCAAGGAGCGCCTGAGAACTTTTCTTGGGCTCAGATGCGTCCCTGAGAGACACTTCCGCGTGCCTGTGAGTTGTTCGAATTATCCAAGGGGTGTAAAAGCTGCAAAAGTGTCCCTGGCCCTAGCCGCGATAGCCTACAGACTTGCATTCTGACACCTTTGTGGCAACATCATTGGCTCAACATAACCAGCAGAAGGCCCCTTACAGGGACTCCCTTCATGTTCCTCAGAAGGGATACCCTGATAGCATCTGATAGCCGTCCAAGCTTTGCAGTTGGGACATGTTTGATTTGTGCCTGCGGGCGTTTCCAAGCGTGGAGGCCAGCCGCCCACTTGTGTTGTTTGATTTGTTTCTTAAGCATGTTTTAGTGCCAATTCCAGTATGCACGGACCGATTACAAGCACTTGAGTTTTCCAACTCACAACACAAAAGTCGCCGAAAAAAGACCGCACGTGTGTGCGACTGACGGATACATGATGTGCCAACTTGACGTGAGCCCACCATTCATTCAACACGGCATGCTACTTCGATGCTAGTTGGACTCGAGTCTTCTCAATTGCAAATCATCCACGATTGTGTCGTATCAGTACGGCTGGCCCAATTGAAGCTCAAAGCCGCCAACTCGCAAAGTCGCTTCATCGAAGTCTGCGACATGGTGGCTTTGAATCTTTGCAGGAAACATGGCTGAAGAGGCAGTTTAGCTTATCCAATGGCTTCTACAATTAAGGCTTTCTAAGTTCTATGATTTCCATGTTGAAGCGAACGGAGGTCATGTGATGTACATATAAATGGGCAGCCTGTGACATGTCCGAGTCACCAGGAGTCCGAGTCGCCAAGCCGAAGTTCGCGCAGCGTGGTGGCATTTTGAGCTGGGAATCATTTCAGCAGGTCCTCAGTTTTGTCTGTCGTTGCAGCCTTTGTGGTTATCCTTTGCTTGCCGTCGCCTGTTTGGAATGTTCCACATTGTTGAGCGTGAGCGCTGGGGAGTACGGCGACCGGCACTTTGTGAGGTGGCCGGGAAGAGAAGGTTCCCAAGGAGCGCCTGAGAACTTTTCTTGGGCTCAGATGCGTCCCTGAGAGACGCTTCCGCGTGCCTGTGAGTTTTTCAAATAATCCAAAAAGTCCAAACAAATCTGGAAGAGTGTCCCTGGCCCTAGCCTTGCATGGGCGTAGCCTACAAGGCTTGCCTTTATGACACCTTTGCGGCAACATCATTGGCTCAAAGAAACGAGCAGAAGGCCTCTTACAGGGACTCCCTTCATGTTCCCCAGAAGGGATTCCCTGATAGCATCTGATAGAGACCTTTGGCGTGTTGGCATTTGTTCTTTTTGCCCGCTTTCGCGAGTTTTTGCCAAGATGGAGGCCAAGCGCACTCTTTGTGTTGTTTGGTTTGTTTCTTGAGCAGGTTGTTGTTTGACCGTGAAGCCTCGCAAGGAAAAATACTTTCAGTATGCACGGACCGAATACAAGCACGTGAGGGCCAACTAGACTTGAACCCAACAGTCGTTCTGTCACTGCATGCTACTTCGGTGGTAGTTTGACTCGAGCTTTTTTTAATGGCAGATCGTTGACAACTGCACAATACCATTGCGGCTAGCCCTTTAGAAGTTCGAAGCTGCCAACTCACAAAGTCGCTTCATGGAAGTCTGCGACACAGTTGCTTTGAAATTCTGCAGGAAACATGGCTGAAGAGGCAGTTTAGCTTATCCAATGGCTTCTACAATTAAGGCTTTCTAAGTTCTATGATTTCCATGTTGAAGCGAACGGAGGTCATGTGATGTACATATAAATGGGCAGCCTGTGACATGTCCGAGTCACCAGGAGTCCGAGTCGCCAAGCCGAAGTTCGCGCAGCGTGGTGGCATTTTGAGCTGGGAATCATTTCAGCAGGTCCTTAGTTTTGTCTGTCGTTGCAGCCTTTGTGGTTATCCTTTGCTTGCCGTCGCCTGTTTGGAATGTTCCACATTGTTGAGCGTGAGCGCTGGGGAGTACGGCAACCGGCACTTTGTGAGGTGGCCGGGAAGAGAAGGTTCCCAAGGAGCGCCTGAGAACTTTTCTTGGGCTCAGATGCGTCCCTGAGAGACACTTCCGCGTGCCTGTGAGTTGTTCGAATGATCCAAGAGGTCCAAAATATCTGGAAGAGTATCCCCCTGGCCCTAGCCTTGCATGGGCGTAGCCTACAAGGCTTGCCTTTATGACACCTTTGCGGCAACATCATTGGCTCAAAGAAACCAGCAGAAGGCCTTTTGCAAGGACTCACTTCATTTTCTCAGAAGGGATACCATGTTAGCATTTGATAGACCTTCAACTTGCCGTGCCCGCTTTCGCGAGCTGTTCCAAGGATGGAGGCCAACCGCCCAACTTGTTGTTTGGCTTTTTTCTTAAGCAGGTGTTTGTTTGAGCGTGAAGGCTCGCAAGGAATAACACTTCCAGTATGCACGGACCGAATACAAGCACGTGAGGGCCAACTAGACTTGAACCCAACATTATTTTTGACAAGGCGTGCTACTTCGGTGGTAGTTTGAGTCGCTTTCTTGTTATGGCAGATCATCCACAACTGCACCATATCATTACGGCTAGCCCTTTAGAAGTTTGAAGCTCACAGAGTCGCTTCGTCGAAGTCTGCGACGCAGTTGCCGTGAATCTGTGCAGGAAGCATGAATCCAATGTCTTCTATATAAGGCTTTCTAAGTTCTATGATTTCCATGTTGAAGCGAACGGAGGTCATGTGATGTACATATAAATGGGCAGCCTGTGACATGTCCGAGTCACCAGGAGTCCGAGTCGCCAAGCCGAAGTTCGCGCAGCGTGGTGGCATTTTGAGCTGGGAATCATTTCTGAGCAGGTCCGTGGTCTTGTCGTTGCAGCCTCTGTGGTTATCCTTTGCTTGCCGTCGCCTGTTTGGAATGTTCCACATTGTTGAGCGTGAGCGCTGGGGAGTACGGCGACCGGCACTTTGTGAGGTGGCCGGGAAGAGAAGGTTCCCAAGGAGCGCCTGAGAACTTTTCTTGGGCTCAGATGCGTCCCTGAGAGACGCTTCCGCGTGCCTGTGAGTTTTTCAATTAATCCAAAAAGTCCAAACAAATCTGGAAGAGTATCCCTGGCCCTAGCCTTGCATGGGCGTAGCCTACAAGGCTTGCCTTTGTGACACCTTTGCGGCAACATCATTGGCTCAAAGAAACGAGCAGAAGGCCTCTTACAGGGACTCCCTTCATGTTCCCCAGAAGGGATTCCCGGATGGCATCTGATAGAGACCTTTGGCGTGTTGGCATTTGTTCTTTTTGGCCGCTTTCGCGAGTTTTTTCCGAAGATGGAGGCCAACCGCCCTCCTTGTGTTGTTTGGTTTGTTTCTTGAGCAGGTTATTGTTTGACCGTGAAGCCTCGCAAGGAAAAATACTTTCAGTATGCACGGACCGAATACAAGCACGTGAGGGCCAACTGGACTTGAACCCAACAGTCGTTCTGTCGCTGCATTCTACTTCGGTGGTAGTTTGACTCGAGCTTTTTTTAATGGCAGATCGTTGACAACTGCACAATACCATTGCTGCTAGCCCTTTAGAAGTTAGAAGCTGCCAACTCACAAAGTCGCTTCATGGAAGTCTGCGACACAGTTGAAATGAAATTCTGCAGGAAACATGGCTGAAGAGCCAGTTTAGCCAATCCAATGGCTTCTAAGTCTTTCTAACTTCTATGATTTCCATGTTGAACCGAAAGGAGGTCATGTGATGTACGTCTAAATAGGCAGTCGGTGACACGTTCGAGTCACCAGGAGTCCGAGTCGCCAAGCCGAAGTTCGCGCAGCGTGGTGGCATTTTGAGCCGGAATCATTTGAGCAGGTCCTGAGTCTTGTCGTTGCAGCCTTTGTGGTTCTCCTTTGCTTGCCGTCGCCGGTTTGGAATGTTCCATTTTTTTCACGTTGAGAGCCGGGGAGTACGCCGACCGGCGCTTTGTGAGGTGGCCGGGAAGAGAAGGTTCCCAAGGAGCGCCTGAGAACTTTTCTTGGGCTCAGAGAGACACTTCCGCGTGCCTGTGAGTTGTTCGAATGATCCAAAAAGTCCAAACAAATCTGGAAGAGTGTCCCTGGCCCTAGCCTTGCATGGGCGTAGCCTACAAGGCTTGCCTTTATGACACCTTTGCGGCAACGTCTCCAGCTCAAAAAGAGCAGAAGGTCTTTTACAGGGACTCCCTTCATGTTCCCCCATGGGATACCCTGATTGCATCTGATAGACCTTCAACTTGGTGTGTGGCATTTTGTCTTTGTTGCCCGCTTTCGCGAGCTGTTCCAAGGAGGCCAACCGCCCAACTTGTTGTTTGTTTTTTCTTAAGCAGGTTTTTGTTGGGACCGTGCAGGCTCGCAAGGAATAACACTTCCATTATGCACGGACCGAATACAAGCACGTACTCACAACACACGTGTTGCGGACAGAAGACCGCACGTGCGTGCGACTGACAAATGCATGATGTGCCAACTTGACTTCAACCCAACATTCATTTAACACGGCATGCTTCTTCGTACTTGGACTCGAGCTCTTCTCAATGCAGATCATCCACAATTGTATCTGTTTATTGGGGCTGGCCCTTTTGAAGTCAACTCGCAAAGTTGCTTCATCGAAGTCTGCGACGCAGTTGCTTTGAATTTGCGCAGGAAACATGGACCACTGGGCAGTTTAGCTTATCCAGTGGCTTCTATAAGTCTTTCGAAGTTCAGTGATTTCATGTTGAACTGAAAGAAGTCATTTGATGTACGTACAAAAGGGCAGTCGGTGACATGTCCGAGTCACCAGGAGTCCGAGTCGCCAAGCCGAAGTTCGCGCAGCGTGGTGGCATTTTGAGCCGGAATCATTTGAGCAGGTCCTGAGTCTTGTCGTTGCAGCCTTTGTGGTTCTCCTTTGCTTGCCGTCGCCTGTTTGGAATTCTCCACATTGTTGGGCGTGAGCGCTGGGGAGTACGGCGACCGGCGCTTTGTGAGGCGGCCGGGAAGAGAAGGTTCCCAAGGAGCGCTTGGGAACTTTTCTTGGGCTCAGATGCGTGCCTGCAAGGCTTGCCTTTTGACAACTTGGTGGCACCATCATTGGCTCAGAGAAACGAGCACAAGGCCTACAGGGACTCCCTTCATTTTCCCAGGAAGGGCTACCCTGGTAGCATCTGGTCGCCCTCCAAACTTGGAGATTCATCTCGATGGAATATTACTTGTTGGTTCTGCAGGTTGATGGAGGAACATGGCACACCACGATAGACAAGGTGGGTTACCATCTGCCACGGGTCGGCCAGTGTCACCGGAAGAGAACGGGCGATCCTTGAGCTTCTTGCAGGAGCCGGTGTCTCCATCCCGCGAAAGCATCTTGGCAGATGTTCAGCGCGAGCCAACCACAACCGAAGGATCCGCCGGATTTGGCTGGTTTGCTCCAAATTAGGCCTTAAGCAGGAGAGATCCCATCAAATACACCGCAAACACTCAGAGAAATACCAGTGTGTTTGAAGCTGGAACCTGAAACATGTCAGGCCTGGGGCCAAGCGAATGTCCGTGGCGCTGTGCAAAACTTCGAATGTGTCGATGAACTCGTTGCTCGCATCTCGGTCCAGCATGTTGCGGACATGGAAGCAGCCTCTGAGCCCCTGGAAGGGTTGAACCTCAAGAGGTCCCATTTTGCCACCTCAATGGAGTTACCCTTTTTTGTTGCGTACTTGATGTCTTGCTTTGTTGGCTTGGTTGTTTGTTTGTTTGTTTGTTTGTTTGTTTGTTTGTTAGTTTTTGCTTGCGCGAAGGGAGTGCTGAACTGTCCTTTTGCCCCTAGGTCCATCGCATCAGGCCGCGGATGTCACGAGTCGGGTGGGGCCAGTGCTTTCATGTGGAAGGCAACTTGCAGAAGCAGATATGGATGACTCGTCTTCTTTGGAGGATACCTTTGCTTGGCAATCAATATGAAGCTGCAAGCATTCTTGGGGTACCCTATTTTAAGATACGCTCATATTCTCAGGATTCTGAGCGGCAATTACAGTTGCCACTTTGGCCTCACTTGGCGTGATTTGTTGCTTTGGGTTGTCAGTTTTACCCTGGGGTTCAACCCTCATTGAAGCAAAGGTTGACCCAATTTAGGTGATGACAATCCTTAGGTAAATAAAGGTGGTTATATGAACCCCCCATTGTTTTAATGGTGGTTTGAACCCCAGGGTATACATGATCGACACCTGGCTATCATGATCTGCTTGAAATCAGGGCGAAAGGACCAAACCGCCAGCCTCAAAGTACCAAGTAGCTTCGACCATGGCGCCTCGTTTGCGTCGACTGTGAAGTTGTTCCAGATGCTTCCGAAGGAGCCGGCTTCCCATGGCATCACGCATGGCTTTCAATCAGTTCTGGTTTCGTGCTCCGAGTGGCTCTTGATGTTCCCAGCTCCGAGTTGCAACCTCCTCACGGCCCGGGCAACTCAAGGTTCACCCACCGAACTCCAAGCTAGATGCGAGTAGAGCGGGAGAAGCATTTTGATTGACTGCACCCAAAGCATGGCCCGACTTGAACTGTCCTTTGTACTGGGCTGTCCCTGCGCAGCCTTTTTGTGCAGGCGAAACTGCTTCGAGGCGCGGTTCGGCCGGGTACAGTCGGCACAGGAAGACTCGCACTGCTGTCCTCCGTAGTCATTGCACAGATCGAGGGCGATGCCTCCCAGAGACTCCTCATATCTTCCCATTCCTGGGACATGTTTGCCCTGAGTTTCTCATTGTTGAAGCCATTTAGAATTCAGGGTGGCCGAATCGAATTGAAGGAGAGGGCCACGTCTTTGGAACTTGCTATATGGCCATTCATTTCAATAGGGGGCCACTTCACAGTTGCTGCGCATGACTCCCTGCCTGAGTTATGTTCACCATAGAGCGCCCTCTTAAAATTTACGCCCATATATGTTGTGTCGTGTGTTTGTGTTTCACCGGAACCATGCATCAATGGTGGAGTCCAGAGACAAGCTGCTGAGGGTCTCCACACTGAGCAAAGCCTGCCCAGTGGCAGGCCGAAACTTTCAAAGGGGAAAGCAATCTAAATGATGACATGACAATTCACTGGACCGCTGTACTCCAATCGTTAGTACCCTTTCGCATTCCAAGCGTGGCGCTGCGTTGAAGTGTTTGCTGTTGCTTCTGGCCAGTGGTGCACTCAATCCAACTGTGCGTATGGGTCCAAAATAGGGTAACCCCCAAAATGGGTTGGGCACGTGGAACAAAGGACTAAAACTTGCAGTCCATATGGTGGTTGAATTCTGACCCATACCCGTGTCACATGAGACTCAAGGCCCTGCGCCGTGAGCACCTCGCAGGCACCCCCACAGCATGGGAGGAGCTGCTGAGCAGTGATGAGGAGTCCCATGAAGCGAAAGATGCCGAGCGACGGAGCGACGCGCGCCGTGAAGTCCGAAGGGGCCCGACCCCCGTTTTGCGTTTTCTTTGGGAGGCTTCGGCACATGCTTGGCGAGAGGGCTCAAATCCCGGTGCAAGGTTGGGTCTTGATCTTTCGAAGAGATTCCTGTCGAAAGTTCTGGAGCTATCAATCGCATTAATTGAGATCCATCAGAGGCTAATTCGCCAGGATGTTCCTTGCACCGCCAGGGTGCCCAACCAACGGGGTGGAGCTTGATCTCATTTCCACCAGAAGTTCGACTTCGTGTGTGGTTGGATTGTGATTCTGATTCTGTGGCCTCACGTCATCACACTTGCGATACCGGAAACTCCCATGATTTGTTTAGTCGGGGACATGAATCCCAATGTCGGTTTTGATTTTTAGGTCATGGTGCAAAGCTTAGCCCCAGCAAACTGAACCACCACCCCCACGGAGCCAGGATAAATTTTGCTTTGACTGACTTCGGCCATCGCTGCATCGCTGCGGCTCAGGCACTGCCTAGGGAGGAAAGGATATGGCACGGATTCCAATGGTGAGACCTGCGCACCCAAGGCGTGCTGTGAGTACTCCAATCAAGGAGGGCAGCTGACAGTAGAGGCCAGAGCTAGCGCATACGGAAGGCTTTACTAGACGCTGCAGGGTAGTCGTCGCTCCGTTGCTCCGCCTTCAGCTACTGCCGCCACCTGAGGAACCGCATGACCACGGCCTTGATTTGAAGGCTACTACAGCAACAACCTGATATCGACATGGACAAAAATACAACTGCAATCATTTAGCTCGTGTATATATATATATACACATATATCCTTACTTGGTTGAATCGTGTAGAAGGGGCTGCACGTGAAAAAGCGCGGCTATGCTACATGAGCTTTTCAATCGAAATCGGTGACTTGTCAGCATCTTGTGGAATTGCGCAAGCGCCTTGACCCAGTTGGTCAGCACCCGTTTTTCTCTTTTGGGTGGGTTTCCAACCAGAAACCCTGTCAAATTTTGCAGGCCCCCTTTGTTCGAAAAATCACTGGGTTGCAACCGAGTTTATGCATCACGTCTCACTTTGTGTCCGAGGCAATGTATGGGCTCCGACTCATCAACAACTTCTATGCGGACCGGCGGCTTCCGTGTTCCGTGAACGACAGGGTGTTCCGTTTTGTAAAACCCCGTGTATTTCCTGTAAATCACTCAATCTGAAAACCTTGTGTTTCCAGAAGAACAGAACAAACATTTTTTTTGGGTATGACATTTGTAGAGGTTTTTGGGTCTCCTGGTAGACGCATACCCAAATCTCGATGTGAGGACTATGCAGGGTCACGCTCCGACTTTGTGATCGTGGGCCACCCTGAGTACAACCTGGGCAAGGCTCGCTCAGAGATGAGACAAGGCTTCGGGTTTCCAGTTTCTGCACGCCTGACGTGCTTCGGACAAAGGGGTGGTCAATTTGGCACTGACTTTGTGGACTCACTAACTTCCCCGCAAAACCGGCGAGTGGGGGGGCACAAAAACATGACCTTTCCCAATGGCCACTCTGGGACCCATTTTGACCATGGCTCATGTGGTCTCGGCTGAATGGGGGGAAACGTTCGAAGGATGAACCCTTGGAGCATGCCAAGCCTCTACGTCTCTGGCAGCAATGGCCTGTGACCAATCCGGGGACATGGGACTTGCTCTTGATGGTACCTCACTCCAGGGACCCATACGGTACTTTTGGGGAAGGCCATTTTAGGGGCCAACAGTTCGGACATGTTTGGGTCAATCCTCTTAAGTGATGAACTCAACAGGCAAGCAGCAAGCTTTCGAGCTTGGCCTGTCGCACTCTGTCACTGGTTTTCTTGTTGTTGAAGCGCAAGATTACTAAGGGAACCAGGACCAGGACCCACGGATTCGGAGTTTGACCATGGCGCATCTGGCTCATATAAGGGGCTCAACAATCACACGCTGTTTCCCTCTTATTCCAGACTTGGTGTGGTTTTAATGTATGGTATGGTGCGCAAGCCCCCATAATTGGTAGTTGCGAAGCTTCTGGCCAGGTTCGCTCAGATTATGGGTACAAGGACGGGGCACCATTTCATCATCAGGCTTCAACCCAGTTCAGTGTTGTTCAGGGATTCCCTTTTCCGACTTTTGCTTTGCCGGGTTCCCCAGAAGAATGGTCAACCTCAAAAACGGTTCCCTTTTTCTACCAAGGCCACGGCGCGACCGGGTCAATTCGTGTTGAGCCTAAGGCCAAAATATTGGGCGCTGGGTTTGTTTTGGGTCTCACCCATGCTTTCAGCAGGCATTTCAGTTCCCTGGGCAGCCCACCAAGTATCAATGTCCAGTTACTGTTGAAGTTCTGCAGAAGCTGTGGATGTGGGGCAGAAGCCGGCTATTGTAAACCAGTGCTTGTTTTTAGCTTGTGTTCGGTCATTTAGCAGGGAGAGTTGAAGCCATGACCTGTCCTACCAAGGCATTTGGCGCAAGCCTGCCGCTTTATGACTCCTTCGATTTTCGGGCCCTTGCCCAATTTGTTGCGTTGTTTGCTTGCAGTGATGAGCAGACACGTGTCCTCCTTACTTTGCTCTTCAACTAGGTCCCCCAGTGCCCTTTCTCACCCCTTTTTTCGGGGGAGGACTACTAAAATAGACTACAGCAAAAGTTGGTACCAACTTATTCTAACCTCTCTGGAGGACCTAGCAAACCGGCACCGGAAAACATTTCCGGCCTCCCTCAAGGCTTGGCACTCAAGGAATTTCATTCAAGTTAGCTCCAAACGGAGCGGCGGCCAATTCTCATCCTGAATCTCTGGAAAGAATCACCAGGGCCCCTCAAACCAAGGAAAGGATGAACGATTGCCTTTGAACAGCCCAGCAAATGGCACAGAACACCAGGCTTTATGACTTTCAACTTGCATACCATCGACAAATGGCAGAGGTTTTCCTAGGGGCACACGTGTGCTGGCAAGGGGGTGTTGGCAACTTCTTGACCTCAAGCCGCCCCCGGCCCTGGGCCCCGGGCCCCGGGCCCCAGCCGGCCACATCTAAAGAAGTGAATCTACAAGCGCGCAGGAGGGATGGGACACGCGAGGAATTCCCTCCTTGCCCGCAAGGAGCGCAGGGAGAGGGAGAGACCTAGAGACCTGGCCACGGAGGGGATTTGCGCTTATCGGCGGCTGTGGAAGTCTTCCATGCCACAAGTTTGACCCATGATTTGTGTTTAGGGGTTATTCCCTCATTAATTATAGTGGCAACTATGAAGGATCCAGCAACTAGATGCCAAGCACATGGCAATGAAACGGGGAGAGATAAGGCAGAAGTGCTTGCAACTTGCAAGCTGTGATGGCTTTTCCCGGCTTTTCCTCAGCTTGTGAGTGGGAATCCGAACTGATGCATCTACTGGCGCCAAGTTGTGCAGCTGTTGACACCTCACCTATCTCGAGCAAAGCGCTTGGTACAACGTCTGTGTTGCTGGAATGTCGCACAGGCAGTCAGGATGCAGCTCTGTTTGCTTCTGAACTTTATTGGGTATTCCGAATTCCTTTGGAATTCGCAGTCCAGTGGCGCCATTTTGTAAACCAACCTCGAACCAACAAAAGGGTCTCTTTGTTACTGGCTGGGCGAGTAAGAAACGGGTATGTCAAAACACGACCCAGAAAGTTTGTGTTTCTTGGTTTACCTCAAGAGGTGAACAGATTGACGTGCCTTTGAGACGCGTCCATTCGACTCCGTTGCCAGCGCTGTACTGCCGCGAACGCCTTGCTTTGCCCAAGGAGTATCCCAGGGGATCGCATCCAGCGCGCTGGCACGGCGGGGGTCCTCGAGACTTACGTATGCATGCAAAATAAGTTTACGAAGCTTACGAAGAAGAGATGCATGCATGCATGCATGCATCGTTATGTGAAATATTGAAGCCTACGATTTAAAAAGCGCAAAAGGCTTGCAGCCGAAGGCTGCAATGATTTACGAAATTCACGAAAACAACACAATTTTAAGGAAAAAACACACATCAAAACAGCCTCCAGCACGCTGAGCTATCTCTATCATTTACTATAGGAGACATAATTCTTGAAATGCTGGCTCCTATCATTTTATATGGGCGACCAAAACACGAAATACGTGTCCTTGCCCACTTTTGTGTTTCAAACACAAATCACACGCTGTGATCATTTTGTGTTGCTAATATTTCTCATAAGCATGGATGCATGGTGTTTGAGGGATCGAGGGGTTTGGATGCCGGCTGGGTTGCCATTGCAAATTTTATGTGGACACTGGCCTAAGTAAGTATTCCCACAGGTGCTATCTTAGTGGGTGGGGGTTAAAGTTGGGATTCTGGCAACGTGGACGGTCAGCCACTGCTTAGAATATATCCAAACAACTTGGCACCCAACGTGTTCACCCACGATGCACGCATGTGCAAAGTAAAGTGATTAACTTTTGAATCTTGAGATGGGGTCTTGTGAGACTAGCTGGGCCGACCGGACCTCCCGCTCAACTTTTTGGGATTGATGTCACGTTTCCAGCGAGGGACGTGCTTGGACCCGAGTGCTGGGAATAATCCGGCGAAGCTCGCTTCCCAACACTTGTCTCTGGAGGGCTGAACCGCAAGCCAGCTGGCTTTGTCAAAGGCCAAGATCGTTTTGACGTGGCATGACGTGGCATTGTGCCGGAAGCTGCTAAGTGACCGGGGCCCGAATGAGCCACTGCAGAGCCTGAAGTGGCTTGACCTAAATCACTACCCTCACCGCCAACATCAAACACATTCGCAAGGAAGCAACAGAAGCACGCCTTTTCGTAAAGGTCACGCGCCTGAAGTGCTAGAACCATACACAGACAAGGCGGGAAGCAACATGACACGTAACAACAACTTGAGTAGAAGTCGTGCGCTCGAAGCATATTGAAGCTGTTGTTTCTTTGGCCTGCAGCAAAGCCCTGCCTTCCCATGAGCAACTAGCGGCAGACTTGGATGAAGGGAACCTGTTGTTTGAACAACCGATGACTGACCAATAAACCAACATCAACATGTGCCAGCAAGCCTTTGGGCCATTGAGTGCCGTGCAGTCGGCAGTACAGGCTAGAATTGGAGGGTTTTGCGAACGCAACTCGTACACTGTGCTTGGAAAACAAGCGAGGTAGATGTACGACTCCAAGCCAACAAAGAGGAACAAATTGTAAGTGAGTACATACATAAGGTAGCAGCACTTCGCCTGTGTTGCTGGTCACCCATCCTGCGTGAAATGAGTCATTCCAAAAAGCTGGAACCCCTGCTTGTGGGGGCCTGCTGTTTTGTCGATCTTTGATTTGCAAATAAGCCGTCACCAGCTAATGGAGTTAAATCTGCTTACCTGTATGTGATCGCGCGTTTTGTGACCACGGTGCCATTTTTTGGGAAGTCTTTGTGGGCCCCGTGCGTCCTGGTGGCAATTGGTACAGCTTGCGGCTCACCCGGGGCCAGGAGAAGTACCTGAAGTCGCTGGCGCGGCCGGAGCCGAAGCCCAAGTACAAGGATCGATCTCCCGGGGGACGGAGAAGTAGAGACATGCCCCAAACAGCAGGGGCTCGGTCACCACCCCACCATCTCTCTTGGGTTCTATTTGGCTCCCTGAACATGCGAGCGGCATGGAAATGGGATCCCTGAGGTTTTAGGGCACAGCTTTGACAGCGTCCACGCTGTTTCTGGAGATCTCGCGGATCCGCATCTGAACCACCCACAACAAAGCAGGGATATGGAGAGGCACATTCCACCTTGGGTCGACATGGCGTGGCCTTTTGGCCCATCAATCGACGCAGGACAAGCGATTCAGGGGTCTCCTTTCAAAAGCCCTTGGCAAGCAGACCTCAGCTGCGAAGGTGCCGTTTTGTTGCACGGGTGTTCTCAACACCCAGCAATTCTGACAGGATCGTTTGTTGTTTTGGTTTCGTAGTTCCACTGGTTACCTGAACGATTTAGACGCGCCACAGTGCTGCCAATGCAACACGCGAAGGCCATGGGAGAAGTAACCTCAGCCCGATATGTAGACAACCATGCCGGCATGTGTTTTGTTGTTCGTGGTGGGTGTCAAAGGCGCATGGTGTTGCGGCAAAGGCAGGGTCCAATGGACCAAGACAGCATCTCACAAGTGCGAGAACCGTCGCCTTTTGAGACAGCTGAAGGACCTTTCCAAGACATACACACGTCAATCATTCCGGATAAAGCAAGCAAAACCCACGACTTCTGAGGAATTCCATCGGGAGATACATCTCCCCCCCCGAGTACTCGACTCAACTTGCCAGGAGCGTGTCCTCGCCAAGAGTCGCTCCGAGCCGCAGGCGCGAGCGCTGGAACTCACAAAACAAAGTTGCGTGGGATACTTTCGAGAACCCCAAAAGCCACTCTGAAAAACCTCCCAAAGCGGAGGGCTTGGTAGGTTCACGGACTGCGGTTGATCTGTAGGCTTCAGATGTTATGGTATTTCACTGGCAGAGAGGTTTCTTGAAATAGTTGGAATCCCATCTTCGGTGAAATGAAGGGAGCTCCTGATTGCGGTATATTTAGCCGGCCTACTAGTACCTTCTACTGCAAGCTCAACTCAGACCAGCACCTCCATAGTGTCATCTTTAAGGGATTGACATCCGACAGGAGCCAAAGTCATGTCCATTGCTGGTTGTTGGTGTTTGCTTGCGGCTGGGGAGTTTGCAACCATGTTGCGCGCCGGTTGGTCAACTTTCTGGGGTGACAGGCAAGAGACACACCGTGACCATTCGCCCGATTGGCTCAAGCACAGGTTTAAGCCAGGGCGCATCAGTGCCCAGGACACAATTGAAGTGAGAGCCAATATGTTTTGGTTTTCAGGTAGAAGCCTTTTCCGTCTGCGAAAGTGGTCAACGTGAATTCGCTCGGGTCCAGACCCTTGATATTGGAAGGATCCCTGGAACGCGTTATGAGACAGCGCTGAGGTGGGTCAGTTTTGCTTGGAGACTCGAAGCACTCGTATGTAGTGGCCTTGTGGCCTGCTTTTCTTGTGTCCCGCGCCGCGCATCAATCCAGTTTCGCCCATACACTCTTCTTTTGTTGGAACTTATACCACTCAAGGACGACTTTTCTGGCCTGGGGAAACCTGATCAGAGTCCCTGTGTTTCTCGGGCCAGAAGTTGATCCAGTGGATCCCGGTTAGTATAGTGGGGAACCAGCAGGTCCATTTATGAACAAAAAAACGGTCCCCTTTTAAAGGGTTTCCTTTAAAGGGTTCCTTTTTGTTACCTTATTCAATGGACCCACAGGTAGGCCTTTCTTGCCCAGTCCCCCGCATTCCAGGTCCGGAAGGCGGAGCCCAAAGGCGGGGCACACCAATGGGATCCCATGTTGGTTGGTAGGTGAATTCACCACCCATGTTAGAACCTATTTTAGCGGGGATTGAATCGGATGTTTAGTGCAGGTACGGGGTTTTGACCCATAGGCCATGAGGGTCAGGACTTAAGGCTTCCTGTTTTCAGATAGTTGTTTTTTGGTGTTGGTTGTTTTTGTGGTGTCTTGTTATCCTTCTACACGGGCACGGATCCCCTTCAGCGGGCGGGGTCGTCCTTTTGAGGCTATGAGAGGGCTTAAGTCATTCTAGTACCTTCTTGGAAATTAGATGCGCCCCTCAAATGCGTGCATGTGGCATTTGTTGAGTCATGTCCCTGTCTTCCAATTTTAAATGTGTCTGTTGCATGTACACAAACTGGCTCAACGCGCATGACTGCGTTCGTCGGATGAATGGTTGAAGCTTCTCGGAACTCTGGACTTTGAATCTTCTATCCAGACTCTTGGCTGGTGCACATCTCTAAATGCGTACACAGTTTGGGAAGCATCAATACTCCAGACTCACAGACTCGCCTTTCATACCTTGCAGAGGGATTGCTCAAGTCGCAGCTCGAGCTGCCGGCAACTGAAGCTCCAGGGATTCGCCTTTTCAGCCGGCCTAGGCTGTTGGACCTTAGGTCCGTGAAACAAACGGTACTTTGAGTACTCCCATGTACCTCGGGTGAGTTGAACGTGACCTGGGTGATTTCGGAATTGAGCTTTCTTTTAGGGGGTGATGCTTGAAGGAGAGACACAACGAATTCTGTTGAACCATGTTGCCCCTGTTACCCAACTGCGGAATTAGCCGATTCTATGGTCTCATGTCTTGGGGCGTGCCACTGCAAGCTTGCACAGGTGATATTGACGACTTCTTCCAGGACAGACTGCATTGCTTCATGCCAACCGAAATTCCTATTATTTAACCTTGTGGCATGAATGCATCACCTTTCGAGTTGCCCTGCTAAGTGAGTTGGCTTTGGGGGTGCTTTCTTTTTAAAGGGGTGTATGGGCGGTTCTCAAGATAGGAACCGGTTCCCCAAAATGGCAAGCGGTTCCTTCAAGCTTCCCTTAAATTCCGTCAACCAAAGTGGGTCCGACTTTCGAGAGTCTCCCGCATTGACCAGGCACTCCATCGAATGGGAAACCAAAGGCAACCACACGCCATGACATGGTCAAAAGCCAGGAGCTGACGTCCTTCGACAAGCTTCCTCCATGCTCGCCGAAGCTTTGCCGGAGATTTGTGGGCCCAGGTGTTTGGTATTCCTGTGGATATGTTCTGGGGCATCGCTTGGAAATTGTTTTTTATTGAACGGTGCCATTTTGTCTGGTTTTGAATGGACAGAGGGAACGACTCATTTTGTGGGTTCCTCAGTTTTAACACAACGCCGTAGAATTGTGCATTTTTTTAATAGCAACAATACCAGCCCAAAGGACATGTGTTCAACACATCCCCTTAGTGTCAATGGCGCGATGCTCTATTTCTTCTGGTTTTGTCTAGTGCGTTGGTCTCAGGGGCCGGGGGGGGCTAAGACATCTTTGAATCAGGTCGATTCAGATCCCGCTTCCAAAGCGGCTAGGCCAAGTTAGTCTTCAATCACCCGATACACTGCACTTGCAGATACCGGGCTTGTTGGGTCCAAGGTCAGCATAGAACTTCCTCACCGTTGATTTTACAGCACACAGAGATGTGGTCCATCTATTCGGTTGGGAGCAGAGAAATGCATCGGGTCAGACAGTGTTTGACCAATTTGTCCAAGAGTTTGCTTCTTTTTGTTTCAGGGACCCATAGACCCCCACGCCCAAGAGCCCCTGCCAAGCATCAGAGGCTGCCTCACCTAGTATAGTGGCCAATACGCCTGGCAAGTCTGGATTTCTTCTACCTAGCATGGCCAACTTAAACTTAGTGGACTTAGCTGAGGATATCAACCTGTACACACGGTGGGTGTGTGACAAGGGTGCCCTTTGCGCCGAGGAACCGACTCACCGCAGGGTGGGCCAACGACATGCGCTCGCAGCCGGCCTTTTGGCGGCACCCAGCAGGTTTTGTGCGAAGTTCTGAGCGGCTTGCCCAGTTGCCATTTTTCGGCAGACGACCAAGGGAACCACCCCTTAACAACCAAAGGAACATGGTTGGATACCTGCAAAACTCCAAAGTGGGATCAATGGGGGGCTGTTTGCAGCGCGCAAACCTACCATCGACCGATCTAGTTGACAACGGCTTCTACTCCCGGCGGGGCGGGGGTTTGACAAGAGATTCAAGTGAGGCCCTATGCGAAGCTTGACAAGCATGTTGAGCCCAAAGTTAACTGGTTTTGGCCGCTGCTTTGCCTTTGATCTGACCAACCATCTCGGGCGAAACGTAGGGCCCTTTCTGGAGCGCTGGTGTCAGTTTGCAATGCGTTTAGATGGGCAAACCCAGGGTGCCATTTTCGTCAACCCCCCCCCCGCTGTGCTTTGGCGCTGGCCCGTAGATAGCCCCTCTCTTCTTTCTGGACAACATGAGACAATTCTCTGAATCGACTCAGGCTTCACTGATTGGCTCACTTCCCCAGACTTGAACCTTATTCGGAAGAGCCGAGAAGCGGTAAACAAACGTCTGAGCCTTGTTTGGTCAATCCGTTCAAGTGAGTGGCCAAATGCGCCCAAAAGATGGCGGTATTTCAGCAGCTCCGCAGGTGATGAAGCACTACAATGCCATTCAGGACCCGGGAAACCTGCGCCCGTTTGGGTCAGTGGCTATCAGAATTCGGCAAATGCTGAATGACTCTGGGGTTCCTCAGTTTCCCTTTTTGTTGGACCTCAAGTTGCAACTTCAAAGGAACCCACCAGTGAATCGCGTGACAGCTGCAGCACCGTCCCCCCCCCTCCCCCCCGCGAAGGGAAACGTGACTCGACAAGCTGCCTCGCCCTGGGCTGTGGCTGGTGTTGTCAGCTATCCAAAACCCGGAAACCCCTGGCTCCCGGCAGCTCTGCCATCCAATCCTGTTTTTTTTTGGTGCGGTTCTTCAGTTTTTCCAGGATCACCGGATTTCTGCTTCCAAAGTTTATCAATTTTCAGGTGGATTCCCATTGAAACTGCCACTGTATGTCCAAAAGAGGCGATCGCCCTTGTTCCAGAACACGGCTTGTTGGTGGATTCCCATGAAACTGCCACTTGGTTATGTCCAACAAAGGCGCTTTGGGTGGATTCCAGATCAGTTCTTTCGAAACGCGAAAGCTCCCCCCCCTGCAGCCCCCTCCCCCGCGCCAGTCCAGGAGGAGCTGGAAGGGCTCCGCAGCCGCGTCTTGCGCGCCCCTGGGGTCGTGAAGGCGAGTGAAGACCGAAGCCAACGTGAATCCGTCCCTCTACTCCAAGAACCGTGTTTTTGGTAGGCAACAGGCTCAAAGTCACGTGTTTTTTTTGTTTGTTTGTTTGCATCCTTTATGTGCAAAGGTTCTTGGAGTAGAGGGTTCCTTTTCATGAGACTGGTCTTCCAATGGAAAAGATCCGTGCACTTCTGTGTTTCATGTTTTGGATGGTGGATCTCCACCCTTTCTATGCGCATGTCTGTGGACTCCTTCAATACTTAAGCGTCGTACCAGTACCACCCTGAGTTGAGGTGTGTTTTGGTTTTGCCAGTGATTCCATTCACCTGTATGGTATACCAATAAAGGGAGCTACCACATTAAGGCTGAAACGAAAATGGCGCGAGGGGTTGTGTCGTTCTATTTGGCACCTTCTCACGAAAGGCTTGGAGTTTTATTCGCGGCGACACCGAACGACAGGCTGAGCTGCAGTCGGATGATGCGTGGCGCTCCTTGACTTGAGTCTGCAGAGCTGGGGTTAAGAGCGGTTGGAAAACTCCTGGGCTGTAGTACCTTGTCTTTGGTTCCTTTTTAGGCCTAACGCATCCTTCGAATGTACTTGCATCCCTTGGGTGTGTTGGACAAATACATGGTTGGATTCATGTCGAACAAAGGAAGGTGTTCCAGTCAGGATTTATACCGGAAGTGTACCAATGCCTATTAAACTCTGCCAGCAACCCTTGACAGCATCTGCCTTTAGACACAAGGAGGGACACTTGAAAGTGTAGAGCCACGGCAAACCCTGACCCTGACCACTCGACTGGTCAAAACTTGAGATGGTTTTTTTTTTCACATTTGCTAGGCCTTTTTTGGGTGGAATGGACGGCCAAGCAGACAACGGGTTTTGGTGGCCGCAAGTTCAGGAGGATTAGACTATGTTCGCAAGTGACCCTGATCAGATCCGGGCACGCCTGATTGATTGCATTTGTTTGGGTCACCAGGCATTCAGGGAAGGTAGTCAATTGGCAGCATATGGGCTTCTGAGCAGCTAACCCCAAAATTTCAATCCACCTGGAGTGCATGTACCAAGCTAAAACGGCTTGGATGTAGAAACTGACTGCAGCATACTTTGCATGTAGCTTGATATTCTGTGCCAAGGACAAGTAAGCCCCAAGAAGCCGCGAATGCAAAGCAACTTGACCAGCTCAGGCTACTACGCCTTGCACTTGGAACAGGCGAAGAAGAATGATCTTCAGCTAAGGCGCCAATCACTTTGCTTGCAGAGGAAGTCTGCAGATGACCTGCAGATGGCTTCGTGTACCGTTGTGGCTTGTGGGTTCTTGTTTGAAACTACTGTGGCACCACGTAAGCAACCCTGAAATGATTCGATTCCCCTGTAACTACCAACCACTGGTCTGGATTCAAAGTGGTGCGAAATGGATTTCGCAACCATCCACAGAATGTTGGTCCATTTCCAACCAACTTCCTTTTTTCCTCCAATGGCCGGCTGTAATCCGCTTGGATGGTCCGCAGGCAGACCAAGCAGAAGGCCAACGCGTGGGTTCAGAAGGCATGCGACAAGCGGACTGTCGGCGATCTCTTTGAGCCTTAGCTCAGGGTACCAAACCGCGACAACCGGAGCTTCGGGACTCGGGGTCATGTGTATTCATAAAAAATATATACAACACACATAAGGTATTACATCTTTATGTGGTTATATACACGTTTATGTATATATATAATAGATCAATAGCTATATAAAACACATGTGCATATTAAATGTATAGCACATGCATGAATATGGCAATTGCCTCCCCTCAGCAACAAACCAGCTCCAAGGAGGCGTTGCTAGAAACTATGTGTCGGTTTGATTCATTTCCTTGCCCCTGACCTGTCGCATTTGATCATGTCACGTCCACTGGCACACACTGCTTTAATTCCCGATTTTACACTTGTGGGATTCACGGATTGCAGGACGATTATCAGTGCTCAGGCCTTCAAACTTCAATCCAGACTAGGTCCCCCAGTAGTTCCCTTTTGCCCTTTTTTTTTTTTTGGGGGGGGGGAGGTTCCCCTACTAAAATAGACTACAGAAAAAATGGGTAATTACCCTTATTCCAACCTCTCTACCGGAGGACCTAGTAGACAATTCAAGCCCTGTTCCAAATCAGTTTAGACATGTTTGGATAGAGTTTTCGGCTCGCCGTTAGGACTCCGAAAAGATCCTTCTGAGGAGCTATGTCCTGAGAAATGCGTAGCGTCTTAAAGCATTTAGGCAGAGTGCTGAAATTTTCGTTGGTGGAACAAAGGGTGGCAATGACTCAAAAGTGCTGTACACGAGCACATGTATTCTTGCTGAAGTGAGCTGCGAATTGCAATTCATGTCAAACCCTCATGCAGCTGGTATCTCTTCAATGCGCAGCATGATTCCCACATTCAATGTCTATATCCATCTGTTGCCTTTGGCAACTTTGCTGAATCCTCAAACAAGTTTTTACACCATGCTTTCAGCAACTTCGCATATTTTTTTGCAGGGTCTTCCACGTGTAAGTCCAATGTAAGTCCATTCTGTCTAGTTGCGGGCAAGATGATTATCATGGAGTTGTCAGCTGTTGCCGCTAGTAGAACGGCAGTTCAGCAAGCCAGTGGTGAGTAGAGATCGAGCTCTTACATAGCAAGGCAGTATACCCGACTCAGGACCAGGGCAAGGGAAGCAATTGCAGACTAGGTATGACTATTGGGGCCTTATGGGAGTCATCAACAACAAAAAGGTGATAACATAACCTCGTGGCTTCCCTCGCTTTGGCCTTGTGTCAATATTGGACACAAGCCTTGCAGCACGTTTGCTGCGTTTCCTGCACACGATGTCGCAGTAAGGAAGCCTTGGTGGTTGAAGTACTCCGCAGCCGCACCGCCTTTCTGTTCTCTCAGGAACTTGTTCGAGTCGTGTTTTGTTTGGCTTGGGGGGGTTTCCCGTCCTTGTTTCTGCCTTCCATACTGCCTAGCCGATGTAAACCTCAAGTTGCATTCAACAAATTGCATTTGCAATGACTGCGAGGTAGGACTTGAAGAAGGTCAAACAGCTTGCCACGTTCAGAGCGCTACCATGAATCCCAGATAGGTAGCCCTGCGCTTAGACCTGTCCGTATTGACATGAGCTGTCCATAGCATGGCTCACAAGTTATGGTAGTTAAGTCGTCCCAAAAGGTTTTCCTTCCAGCCCTGCATCCCTGAATCGTTTCCCTCAAGGCCAATCCAACGCCAGGCAATGCGAGGCACTGCGTGAGGCAAAGCACTGAGATGGGGAGGGCCGGGTCCTTCGAAAGACCACACTGGCAGCAGAAGTCATATTAATGATCTAGAATCTAGATTGATGAGCATTGCTTAATGCACGGAGCAGGGGATCCCCAAGGCCCGGAGTTGATGCCGAGCTGATTTCGCCTGTGGCTGCCGCTGGTCGCCTGCCTCTCAGCTTGAACAGAGCTATCTCCGAGAGAGCTCCAAAATGAGTGGTTTGAAAACCCTTTGGTACCAGCCCGAAAAACAGGCGCCCTCACAAAGCAAGCCGCAAACGTGTTTTATTTCATCTTTCCTGGCCCCTGGCAGTAGACTCAGAATATAACACGCGAAACACACTGACCTCGGGCGGCTCGCTTCGCCACTCAAGCTTGCAAGGGTTTGACTGGCAAGCGGCATTTTCCCCAAACATGGCATTTGCCCTTCGAACTGTTTTCAAAGAAGAACCATTATTCTGACATGACCATTGCTGCCATATATATATATATACATATGTACACATACCGGGACCTCGGATGAATCAGCTAGTTGGTGCCTTGGTGCCGTCGCGCGAGCCAGGTCCTGAGAGTCACCCAGCGTCTCTCTTGCGCAGGTTGAGCCACAAGCCATGGGTCGAAGCTTTTCGGTTTCGTTTCCTTCGACGCGGAAATCCTGTTTTCGCTTCCTACTGTTTATGGGGAAATCCATTTTGATCGGTTGCTTCCTCCTGTGGATGCGGGTTTCGTCCGTCCGCAGTACGCAATCATGTTCTTTACGGCCCTTTTGAGTGTGTGTGTGTGTGTGTGTGGATGTGGGCTTTCCATTTTGAAGGTACTCTTTTGTGGGGGGGTACTTGCTAGGCAAACCACGTGGAAAGCCAGCATTGTGGAAACCCATGCTTCAGCATTGGAATGAGTTGAGGCTTTAGGCCTTGCAACCTGCATTTTCATAGCTTCCTCCAAAGGAGGGCAGTGGCAAAATGGCCGCGTCGCAAGAAAGGTGCGGAGTGGAGTGCCTGTGGTCTTCAAAGCACCAGCGTCATGGGATGAGCCCGAGCCAATTGAGCAAAACAGGAGGGATCCCGTCATGATCGATGAGGTCGCCGCAGAATCGATCGATTCTGACCAACCTTTGGACAAGAGGAGCCACCAAGGTCCGGAAGACCACATTCGTTTGTCGGTCTATGGAATGAGCCTTCCAAACACTTCCAACAACAGCCCAACAACATTCCCACAATCCCCGCAAAGAAAAAGCCGAGAGTTCCATATTCCGCTCCCTGGCCACTAGTTTTTTCATTTTCTGCAGCCACATCTTCGCTTCAGGGCACACCGCGTTGTCGGTGGTTGCGTTTCCACCTGGCTTAACGCATCATAGGGAACTGAGAGCCACCATCAATGGTGTACTTTGCCATTGCCACTTTGGGAAGAAGGTCGGCAATGAGTACTTGTGATGGTTTTGTGTTGATGTTGTTCCCGCATCACAAAAGCAAGGTGTCCCATCCAGAACACTTGCATTGTCACATGTGGTTGCTTCGTCTGTTTCAAAAGGGCTTTCTTGAGACAAGTGATTGATTTTGAAGGGATCGCGTGATTGAAATGCACCTTTTTGAAGCAACACAGTCAGAAACTCCAGTCTTTATCCTCATGCAAAATAGCTTACCTCTGAAAATGGACAGGGCCAGTCTTGTCAAGCGTGTGCTTTGTAGGGGAAGATCTTAGGGCTGAGCGTGGCCGTCATGCAAGCCATGCAGCAGCACGAGAAGGAGTTTCTTAGGCGCGGCCTGTGCTTGTCGCTGAAGTTAAGTTGTCCGGCGCAAGCTGCGTTTCTGTCAGGTGTCACCTGCGTACTCAGGGTAGGGGCTGGCTGTGAATCCCTGAAAATTGGACAGCCACTGTAATGATTCTTTCTGATAGAATCATGTCCGCGACCCACATAATATGTCTCATAATATCAGTGTGCATCGCTGGTCAACACTAGTTGGATGCCTTCAAATCCAGCATGTTCTTGCCGAAATAAACACTGACCATGTCCAGGTACCCTTTCAAGTCTGCAAGGCTACCATCCTGTTGTAAAGGCCTGTTGCCAATTTCGATGTTTGTTGGATGAAGAAGGTGATAGTTTCTTGATGAGACCTTTGGCTCGCAGCACATTGCCAGAAAGCGAACCTTGACATGCAAGCACGAAACCGGATTCACTTGCTCAGGTCGGAGAACCACTCCCTGTGCTCAATGATTCTTGCGAGGAGGCAACGGGTTGCCTGGTTGGTTGCTTGGTTGGTTGGTTTGGTGGGTGGGTGGGTGAGTGGTTGGTTCGGAGGTTCGTTGGTTCGGTGGTTCGTTGGCTCGTTGGTGGGTTGGTGGGTTGGTGGGTTGGTGGGTTGGTGGGTTGGTGGGTTTTTGGTTGGTTGGTTGGTTGGTTGGTTGGTTGGTTGGTTGGTTGGTTGGTTGGTTGGTTGGTTGGTTGGTTGGTTGGTGGCCTGGTTGGTTGGTTGGTTGGTTGGTTGTTTGGTTGGGTGGCTGGCTGGCTGGCTGGCTGGCTGGCTGGCTGGTGGTCTGGTCGGTCGGTCGGTCGGTCGGTCGGTCGGTCGGTCGGTCGGTCGGTTGGTCGGTCGGTTGGTTGGTTGGTTGATTGGTGGTCTGGTTGGTCGGTTGGTCGGTCGGTCGGTTGGTCGGTTGGTCGGTCGGTTGGTCGGTTGGTTGGTCGGTTGGTCGGTTGGTCGGTCGGTTGGTTTGTTGGTCGGTCGGTTGGTCGGTCGGTCGGCTGGTTGGTTGGTTGGTTGCTAGTTGGGGGATCAGGCTTTCAGAGCTAAGTGATCCAGATGGCCGACGATCATGATTCGACCTTGAGCATTTGGCGGCTTTACTCATGTGCCGTGCAATGCAAGTCTCCATGTCGCGACCGTATTGGCTCAGTGGCTTTCAGCGGTTTCCATTGGCAGGTTTCAACCAGAGTTCGGTTGAGGCATACACCAATGTTGGCAGTTCCAAGCCACTCGGTTCCTTAACCGGTTTGTAGGGTTTAGCGGTTTGGGTTCCATTTAACCCACCAGTGAAACTTTGGGCCGGGGATCTGCCTTTCCAGGCTCGGCATTCGACGCGAGCCGAGGCCAGGGAAGCCAACTGAGCGGAGTTGCGAGTCTTCAGGTCATGTGGATCTGTCTTCTTTAAGGTTGGACCCGCAACATGGTGGGTGTTCCTCTTGGTTTCCTTTTAAAACCACCACGTGCTTTGCTAGTACTTCATATTTACAAGGTTGGTGGCTAGGGGTGGTTAGTCACTGGCCCCCAGTGGGAAATCCATCGGGTTTCACTTTCGGTTGTCACGAAAGCTAGCTTTAGCTAGCTGAAGTTTCTCCTTGCGCAAGCAAGGTAAGGGGCTCAAATGCCGAAAGATGGATTTTTTCAATTATTTGAGCCGAAAAGATTGAAAAACATCAATCATTTAGACCCCCCCCCCTCCCCCCCCTTCCGGTCTCACCCTGGTCCATCCCCCCCCCGCCCCGTGGACTTGGTGCTACGAACTTTTACATGTTCCACCGATTCAGCTTGTTCATTTGAGACCTCAGTCTTCTCGGTAAACCACCTCGCAAGAATCTTTGCACACGCAGCATGCAGAACCCAGAGGTGCTTTAAGACAGCTTCTGACGCCTCTCGTTGTTTTCATTTTTCAAGGTTTGCCACGCCACCTTGTGCGTTTGCGTGTCGCATCCTACGAATCTTGCCGGCCCTCTCGTTGTACACAAGCTACCTATGAATCCACTCTGTCACCGACCCATCTCATGCAACAACTGCTAGCTTTCGTTCACCCGCTCCTCAAGTGGTTATGGTCCCATAGGTAGCATGTTTGGGGACCACTGTTTATGATTTGCATGTTTAGGCATCTCCAGTGAATGGATATACAGATCCAGTTGGCGTACCTTTGCCCATCTATCTTTCGCAGCCGCCTAACTTTGATAGTAGGCCATGTGACGCTGATGTTCACTGCCTTTCCCTCCAACGCCGGGTGCCCACATTGGTGTTGATTTTGGGATCACATTCCACGGGTAGGCCATACAAGCAGACTGAGCCCGGGGTAGCCCGACTGGGAAGTGAGAGTAGATAAATTACGCAATGGACACGTGGTTTCCAGATGCATCCTCAAATCCGGGTCCCGGTCCGGTGCGCCATTTTGCTATATCCACTTACATGGTTCAGTCCCAGAAGCGGTTCAACCCAATGGAGGGCCTTCCGGTTGAAAGGCGGTAAGATCTTTCGACCTTGCCAGGGTGACTCCGCACTCCGATTGAGGCAGGGTGGACAGAAAGTGCAGGGGGCGAAAGCGACGGGAATGTCACGACACGAAATATCTGAGTTCAACATCAATGCGCAATTCTCGTGCCGGGTGGTGGTGGTTACATTAGTGTAGGTGCGCCCCGCTACGAATTGCAGATTAGGAACCCCCCGCATATTAAACAACGCATGTAGGACTCCCACGAAAACCCAATTGCATGGGCCCAAATTGGCCACGGAGCGCTTGGACCCCAGGGACAGCTATTTCATGGTATGATGAACATCATCCGGACAGTTAGGCCATTCACCCCATTTTTCAAGGGGACCCACCGAAATCGACGCACCCACATACCCAGCTGTTGCTGCCTTCGACCCATCGAGCAGCAAGACTGGCTCCTTGTCTTTTCTTTTGGTGCTTGGTTGGTCAGCTGAAGCGAGACGCACATGAGGCTTAGCTTATTGGGTTGCATGACAGACTGTGGGCCCAGTCAAAGCGATTAGAGATAAAGGAGTTTCTGGTCTGATTCACGTATTGCCATCCGCCCGGCCGCAAAAGGTGTCTAAGTTTTTGGTTGGTGAAGGAGCGGCAGTGGAAAGAACCTGAGCCGAGGCTTCGCCACTTTGAGGGAACTCGGAGCTAAATCCGTGGATGTTTCAAGATCAACATTTGGCTGTGGGTCAAGATTCTCCAGGGAATCGCAGGTTTTAGTCTTTGGTTCCATTTACCAGGTTCCATTTTGGGTACCTATTTTTGACCCACAGCCATATGTTTGAAAGTCGGGATTCGGCGAAAGTGACATCCTTTCAGGTTTCTAGGGGGTGAGATCCACATGGCCAGTCTGTTGCAAGTGTTCAGCCAGGCCAGGCGCGGAGCCTGTCGTCATCCTTCTGGAGCCGGTCATTGCCCTTCCCTGATTCCCAAGCTGAGTGAGTCATCTCGACTGCCTGCTGTGCCTCTGCATTTCTGAATGGGTGATGGGTATTTGAGTCGAGCCCCGTCCCTTTGCGCGCGGGGTAAAGTGGGGCTGCGAAGGGCTGTGAGGCCGTGAGGCGACCTTTGGGTCGGCTCCCATTGGCCCGGCGTTGAGCGCAGTGCAACACCCCCAGCGGCTTTGAGATAGCGTGCCGCCGTCGCGCATGTGCTGCTTGCTGCTTGCCACGCCCGCCTTGAGACCGGCGTCGCCACCTAGGGCGTGGTCACTAGTTGTGAAGTGAGTTTGCTAAAATGTTGATACCATCATAGATCAGTTATATTCATTGCCTTCTCAGTAGTTAAATTTGTTGGCCACTTTGCCGCAGGCACAACTTGCTCAACCTTCTAAACGTTAAACTTCTCAAAACGAGACCATCCTGTCCGGGCGTGCAGGCATCCGTTTTGCACCTGGATGTCATACGCATGCCATACTTTGAGCCTGCGCGTTTCTCACCTATCGTCAGCCGACAGGCTTCTCGGATGTGTTTGCCTTTTGGTGGCTGGTGATGCAAGCCAGCCTCGACGAACAGCTTGTTGGCATCCCGGAAGTGGCACCAGAAATTCCATCACTCCGCCCTGCGTCTTTGCACATGTGCAGTCACTGTGTTTGACAACTGCCAATCTTTCTTTGGAGTGTCGTTACGGGAGCAGACCTTGCCGTGTGAGAATGCGAGGCTGTCGTCTCTGCCGAACCAAGCCCAAGAGAATGTCACAAGTTGAACTGACGCTCAGCAAGTCTTTTTGGAAGCTGTTGCTTCTACCTGTCCGCCGCAGCCAGTGTCAGTCTGGGCAATGTTTGCCTTCCTCGCAATAAGAGTACGGAAGCATGCGGCTTCACCCATGATGAAGGTTGCACTCTAAGGTCCCGGTTCCTTGTTTGAGTGATGCGAAGCAGTTGCCGACCGGAGTCCGCACCTCGATGCCAGCAGCTGTGGTGAAGATACATCATACAAATCGCCCAGAGCGGTGAAGTCTTTCGTGGCCATGGGTCGTGGACGCCTGGCTGAGTCCGTCAAGGCGGAACTCGAGTGCCGGCGCGTCGCTGTCACACGCCCCAGGGATGGTCAATTCAGCCTCTGATTTGAGCAAATGGCATTGAACCAAAGACGGGTGCGCTGTAGCCAATGGATGACACAAGCTCTGCCGATGTTTGATCTGACTGCATCCTGCCAGGTCTTTGCTGATGCAGCCATTGGCTAGATGAGCCGTGGCTCGCCCAGCACAACTTCCCACGAGTTGGTGTGGACCATGGAACCGGGACATTTCTGTTTTGGCCCAGCGGGCCCAGTCAAAAACAGTCCCACAATTGCCTCCTTGCGGAGCCTGCTTTGGCATTTTGGCCCGCGTAGAAATGAAACTGAGCAAGTTTTGGACATCGACCCGGCCGAGGCCAAGAAGCTCTGTTCCAAAGGCGGCCGTCGCTTTGCTTGGGCCCTTGTTGTTGCCAAAAGGTCCTTTGGTGCACTGAGCAGAGGCTCTGGGGCCAAGGCCTCTTGGTCTCGGGTACGAAGGCTTTGAGCAACTTGCGAGCTTCTCTTTTGCAGCTGCTGTGGCCTGAAGAGTGGGGTGGTCAGCCCAAGGCGGTTTGTTTCTTCTGGTTGCCTGCTTGGGTTCACAGACTTCCGCCTGGGGCTGAAAGGAAGCCCAACGAATTATGCAGTGAGTTAAAATCCTATCATGCGTTGGCCTTTGAAGGGGCTGAAAGGAAGCCAAACAAATTCTTTATGCAGTGTGGTTTGGTGAATCCTGCTTCGCCCAGACCAATTCAGTTTGCCGTTTGAGCATGCGCCGATTGGAGCTCGTGCGGAAGGCTATGGGCTGGCCGGGAGAGGCGTTTCATACAATGGCAATTCAGTCAGTTGGGGGTGAGTACAAGCCCTTCATCAACTCATGAGGGCTGCTTATCCCAAATTGAGGGTAATGAAAGCATCACGATTCATGGGTGCTTTGGTTTGCTCTCACCGTGTCAGATGCAATTGCTTTAGTCTGCCTGTGACAAGCGTCCACGCCCTCGGCGTGAGCGCAGCCCCATAAATTTCCGGATCTTGCAGCCATCGGTGCGCAAGGCCTTGGCTTGGCAGCTGAGTTCATGGCAAACTCCGCACGCCCGCGCGGTCACAAGCTCTGCTCTCAAGCCGCAAGCTGTGCGGGCCAAGGGGCGCTTTGCGCAGCGCTGAAGCCACGATGGCAATGCGTCTTGGCAAATCTCCGCTTCCCAAGACCTGGCTGAAGGCAAAGCAGTAGGCTCCAGGCGTCCGTGCCTGGCCAGCCGCAAGATTGCAGGGTGAAGTTTTCAAAGTGACTCCGGCTTCTCAAATTGCATCCTCCTGATGCAAAGGCCCTGTAGGCCAAGCTTGTGAAGCGAAACTTGGCAAGTTGGAGGCTGACGCTTGGAGTCGCCGAGACCGCATGGCACACAGCGGCTTTTTCGACAGCTCGTGTTGTGGCCTGCTTGCTTCCAAAGGCCCAAACAAAGGTAGCTTGAATTGAGGACCCAACGGTTGCGCATAACGTTTTATAGATGTCGCATTCTCGCCTGGGTCACTTTGCATTGCCCGTGATGAGTATCGCCTGTTGGTTTGTTGAAGCTGATTGGACCTTTGCCCCGGACATCCGAGCCTTTCAATCAGCTCTTCCCAGAGTGTGGTTCGGTGCCAGGCAGAGGGTAAGTTCGGCTCCCCATGCCTTGGACGCCATACAATCGGGCGCTTATTTCTGAGATCTGAGCGTGGGTGTGCGACCTGGTCTCGGCTTAGCGAAGAGAAAACTGCCCTTGCGAGATTTTGATCAGAGGAACAATTGGGAGTACCCCCATTCCATGCAAAAAGTGAGCTTGTAGGCCTCCTTGAGAGGACTGGTCTTGCCTGTTTTGGAGGCGGGTTGCCTTGGCGGACAAATCCAATACACTCTGCGCCGGCGACCCCAAATGATCCACGTGTTTGCTCCCGATATCCTGCCTATCGCCATCGACCAGCCCTCGCAAATGCTATGTTGACCTCTGACAAAAATCAGACACGGAGAACAACGTTACTGGCGCGCATAAAGGACACGCAGTGGGCTGAGAAACCTCCAAACCAGCGCGCCTCTGAATGCCTGCCTGAGTGCCTTTGATGTGGCAGCTGGCCCGGCTGAGAGCATGCGGAGTCGGAGTCGTCTCCGTCCGGACGGCCGCTCGCGGCCACGGGACTCGCATGGACATGGGCCCTATGGGCCGCATGGGCCATCCCGGAGCTCCAAGTTGCCGAATCGGGGGATGGAGAGTCGTCAGCTCCGATGCCGCCTTTTTCTCGCACAGTCCTGGCCAAAACAAATTCCTTGCCAGATTTACAGTGTGCTATGTCAGTCCCAACCATGCAAAATCCCGTGTGCGGTTTCGCATTGCCAAGGGTGTCCCACGCTTGACCCAGTGCTGAAGGTCCCAAGGCCTACTCTATGCCTAGCCCAGGCATGGTGGGCGCGAGCCTCACGCGCGCTTTGAGAGCGCATCTCCCGGAACTAGTGGCTGGGATTTTGAGCTGCGTTGAAGGCGATCTTGTCATAAGATATTCATGTCTGAGATGGAGGACTGTTTGCACTTCTGGATCAAACTGAATCGTGCTGGGTGAGCCTCCAGAAATATGTCTGACAGCGCAGCTGGCCCTATCTTGCAACCGTACCTCTATCGATCAAGCGCCGGGCGGCGATGACGCAGCGAATCAGGACAGTGACACTCGGGAAGCAGGCCCTTTAAGCGTGCACGACTTGGGAAGCAGCTACCCGACAGCAACTAGCAACTATTGGCAACAGAGATGTGGTGTTCAAGCAAAATGTATTCTCCCCCTGAAAAGGAGCCAGGATATTGGTAGTTCCTTGGGGGGAAGCATAAAAACAAATATGATAGCATGAGCCTTACAGTATCAACCGAAGTGATTTTAGACAGCACCTGGAGAGCACAGTGCAGGACTGAGCAGGAGTCAACCAGGGGTCCACCACTGGTACAGTAGTCACAAACCGACTACTTGTGCAGACCATATATTGTGAACCAAGCTTTGCATCTAGTTTGTCGCTAGTTGATCCCCGAATTGGTTTGGTGGGCCCTTTGCTACCATCTTGGTTAATCAGTATCGCAGGTATACCTTTGAGCTTTCACTCTCTTCTTGAGCGGAAACAGAGCGGGCCCCTCAAGGATGCTTTTCACAGTATGGGGATTGCTTGAGTTCCCAGACAGAGGTCAATTCTTACTCTGACGGATGCTTCTTTGTGCTGGCTAGGATGTTGTTCTTGGGCAGCGTGGTCGATTGTTTGCCTGCAAAGCTGATTTCTGCAAGTCCAGTCAGGCGTTCCCTTCGCGTGCGCCTGTAATTAGATATACATGCACTGCTTGTTGCTGGCCAATCCGATTGATATGATTCATACGTTGAATGCCTACAAATAAGAAGTATCAAGTTTTTGTTGACAGCATGTTATTTTTGCACCTTGTTACATCACGACATCATAGCTTAAGGAGTGTTTGGCTTTTCCCAGTCTGCAAACCACTCTAAGTCAGCACTGCCTTGGTGCCCTTTGGTGTAGCTAGGTTGTTCAAACTCAATCCTTCCTCCTGCAAGATGGTGAGTTCCAACTTGTTTTCAGTGGTATCACACAGATCACAAGTTGGCAAAACTGGGATTTGCCAGATTTTCGCTTTACCCAGTTGTCAAACCAAGGGCTGTCAAACAAAGGGATTTCTTCATCCGAGGAAGTTTCAGCGCCTGGGCCAATCTGGAGCCCACTGCCCCGCATCCGGACTGGACATCGGTTTGCCTGACCGAGTTCGCCCGACCCAAAACTCGGCGCACAGAGAAGCCTCGGGCCGGGCATCGCTCTTTTCGAAGCAACTCGTTTGAAGGAGTCTAGCCCTGACTCGGCAAGCTTCCAAGAGCCGAGGCCATATGTTCACTTGAGTTGGCAACATCCGTACCCGGCGGCTTTGCCTTGATGTCTGCCCGGGGCAAAGGCTTGGAGCGATTGAATCGACGGCTATCTAGCTGCCAGGGTTTGCATTTCTGCAAACTGGATCGGAAGCTTTTTTACAGACCGGTTAAGTCCATTGACAGCTGCCAGGGTTGCTGGATGGCCCATGCGTGGAAGATTTGACAGGTGCCCGAGCGTGCAATCAAGTGAAGAGTGTGCAATGCGATGTGATGCCTTTTGCATTCGCCTGTGATTCGGCACTATCACTACCTTCTCCAAGATCTAGCATGGTGGTGGGAGCTTCGCATTTCAGACCCTGACGATCCTGGTGCTGTGTGAGCGGAGCGTGCGCTTTGCGTCATCTTCCTTGCTTGTCGTGAGGCCCCATGTAAAACGTTGCAGGGGATTGCTCAAGGCCGCCGCAAAGTGATGCACTGGCCCTTGCGGTGTGAGTCGCAATGAGCGCCACTTGGCCTTCACACGAAGCCTTGCCAAGCTGCCAGATCGCCTGAAACCGGGCTCACGAGAGGGGCGAACTGGCAAGGACTTTGAGAGAGGCGGGCGGGGACCTGGGTTGGAGTGGCAAAGCTAGGGTCCTTTTTCCGGCTGGTGGTTGCTTTTCCAGGTTCCAACAACTCCAGACATGGATAAAGGGGTGGGAGACATCCATACTTTTGATCCAGCCACCCGTGTTGTGTCCCCGGTCAATAACTTGTCAGGCATTGCAGGCATCGAGTTGTACCGATGTGTGGAACCCCCAGCACCCAGTACTTGAAATCACTGCATCAGCATTCCGGCGTTCTGATCAATCTGCCCACGCCGGATCTGGCCACTGACAGAACCCATATTCAATGTGGCATCTCTTTTCCCGCAGGGGCAGGTATCGTTTGGCCTGCAGGCTGATTTGGCCGCACAACGCATGTGTGTGTGTGGGTGTGTTTTCTCGTTCGGACACATGTTTCTGCGAGATACTATACGTTCCTCCGTGTTCGGGTGTCCCCTGGAAATGTAACGCCGGCATCTTTGCACCGCTGCTAAGTATGTCAATAGATTCTTAGCACAATGGACAAACCACATAAAGCGGACATTGCACACACAAATCTGCGAACAAGCAAATTCGCCGTGCCGGCATTGGATGGTAGGTTGAGGTCCCCATTGTTTCAAGCTGTGGCCCCCGGCAACCCAATATTAGCTCTTTGTTTCAACTTGGACACCCTAAAGATTCCGGCGGTGGTTGTCCCCAAGCACCAGGGATGAGGTTACACGCGCTTGGCAGGAACAAGCAACACAAACAATGACACCCACATCAGAAAGCAACTTGACCAACAAGAAACCGGAACATCAATGCACAAACAGAAAGCAATCAACCACTCAAATAGGCAATCAAAGCAAGCAAACAGAGACACCAAGCAACCAAAACCACCTTTTAAAGCGAGCAAATACTCAAATAAGCAAGCAACCACTCAAATAAGCAAGCAAATAAATCAAACAAAGAAGCAATCAAAGCAAGCAAACAAAGATACCACGCAACCAAAACCACTTGTTGAGAGAAACGCCGGGGGGTTGCGGCGCTCGAGTTTTCGAGG